AACTCAAGCGCTATTGTCTTAGGTTCACTTATCCAAATGTGGTCAACCATTCAACCACTGGTGTGACTGGGGTACACTTTGCAGGGCACTTGGCGGACGAACACCCAATTTTTGTTCTATGTCTATTTTAATGCAGGGGAGGCAATGCTTGTAGTTACCCCACTTCATTCAACTTATTGAAAGATTTGATTAAAGGCTGTACTTACAAATCAAGAGCTTTTTCCCTTAACTTGTGCGAATACTATTCAAATATTCCACTACAAAATCGGATGATAAACTTGTACTCTTTATTCATCAAAGCTACTCAAATACACACCACTCGGGGTATTTCCAATGAAACTAATACATCTGCACTGTACTCAAGTGCCCCCTCTGTTCTCATACTTAACACCGAATATGTACATAAAAGACCTGTTCTGGGGATTCTGTAATTGTGGTCCCGATTTCAGACGGGCACAACCACTAATGATGCCTTTGCTTGTAGTGCAAGTACGTTGCTGTGTTCATATAGTCATGAAGAAAGCTGTTATGTCAGACGACAAAAACACAGAGTCAGACACAAAGTAAGAGGGAGGCCAGTCATACGGGACTTGTCACCACAAAATGAGCTTAAAGATATTGTTTTAATGATCTGTGATGTTTAACTTCGTGCAAAACAAGTGATCTGCTTTGATATATAACGTTGGGGTGCTTGAGTTCCAAAGAATTTAAGTTGCACCAGTAGTTTTCCAGAGAGTGGTTTGATAACGTCGCGATAGCTACTTTCAAAAATTCTTGTTTATTTGCTGACTTGGCTGTATCTACTTGTTTTGCAGCATGCGGAATAAAAGCACCAACCTTATCGCTATTCAGGGGAGAAGTCCATGTGAATATGCTCTACCGTGCCCATCTGTTTAACATTGTCACCGCTACTTGACCTTTTCAACAGCCGTTGACATGCATGTTTTTGTCACTTGCAAGTTTTCTCCAGGAGATAGGCTGGGCCGTATCTTACCAATTGACGGCTCACTCGAAAGGAGACCTGGTTTTGCTAGGCGTGTAACGTGAGAAATAACAACTAGGGCACAAATGTCTTCTCAACTGCGTATACGAGTTTGATCTTGATTGTTTTCATGCATGTATAGTGACGGGAATGGATTGGACACTCGTAACGTATACTACCCTTGCTCAGCATCCTTCGGTCAGTGGGTAATTGGTGCGCCACCGCGCGGCGGTGAGTAACTTCCCGAAACTTTCCACCGCCATGTGGATGTGCCTCGTGATCCACCATCTCAGGTATGCAATTTTAACTAGTTACCAACGTATATGTAACCTTATTTATTACTTGTCTGATCTTGCATGAATTTAGAGTTAGAACGTAAAGAAATAGAGGTGCTGACATCCCTTAAAAAGTGATTAATCTAAAGAAGAAAAAGTGCAATGATTTTGCAAACATGGCGCCTTCATTAATCGCTGTACACAACCATGATGGATGTAGCTTGCACAATGTACTCCGGATAATGCCAACCGTAGGCAACCCTTTTTCCTGGGTTTATAGATAGATTCACCATGTTTGATAAATATTTGGAAGCACTGGATTCTGTCTCACTTTGGTGGTTTCAGCATTGTAAATCTAAGTCAGTACTTGTTCAGTACTTTCTATAGTGCTTGATGCTAAACATTTTGTTAAAGTGCAAGCAGGGCGCAACCACAAATAATTCAATAACTGCATAACTACTCAGTAGTGAGACTTCAAAGTCATAAGCGGGAAATTCATCAGGTTAGTAACAGGCCAGACAAATGTAATTTGCTGTTTCTGAAAAAAGTCGCAACT